CCTCCCTCTGAGTGAGAGACCATGTTTCGCACCCATACAAAACAACAGGCAAGATTATTGTTTTGTATACTTTAATTTTCAGGTTCTTAGAAATCAGACGGGAAGACAAAATATTTTGAACTGAGAAGTAGCAAGCATTTCCAGAATTTATTCTCCTCCTAACTTCCTCGTGAGATGACATGATAATACCATTTTAAATAGGGAACGCATAATAAATACATAAAGTAAGTTTGGGATGCCTAATGCAGCTTTAGCGCTAAAGTCGTTCAGTTCAGGAATCTTACATTGCGAATGTCAAATTTACGTACAATCGATACATTTTATTACCATTTGATGCAGGTACCACAAAACGACAGCTGGTAGAAACAGAAGAGACGGACCCGCCTACCCAATGGAAATACATTTATCAGCAGTGGTTGAGTAGCCCTTCCTCTCACACTGTGCTCCTCCTGTACTCCAGAGACTCTGCTCAGTTCTGCAAAGTCGTTGAGGCTCTCCGCCATCTCCTACGGTCTTTCGGAAACATAAAGGTAAATAAAGAATAAATGAAAAACGTTTCGGTTCCGTGCCAAAATTACTAAACTGTTAAGTTTCTGTTTGATCTCGTACTCGTATAAAACACGGTAATCTTATCACTTCTGCACGGAGGGCAAAGCCGAGATATGTAACCTGCCAGCATCTTCCTGCCACTCAAGGTACTGGACCCGATGGAGCAGAGCCAGGTAGAGGAAGTGTCTCAGAACATCTCGGGCTGGGTGACACAGCATCTCTACAATCCAGAGGTCAAAGTCGTGATTGTACTGTCAGAAGGGGCCGTGGTAATGCAGAACGCCCTCATTAATAAGCAGATCATTCAGTTGAGGGATCCTCACTTCTTGGACCCCGTCTTCACACACGCACTGCGTCAAATGCACGAAAACACGCAACTGGGAAGCGACTACAGAAGGATATTTCCTGTCAGGTAAATTCATTCTTCATTTTGCCTATTCATCCATCTATTCCTTACGTATTCATTCTTTAATTCTCTCACTCAACCACAATCCAATCGTTCGTTCATTACTTAATTAATTCATTTGCATTTGCTCCATATTCGCTTGCTTAGTCACTCGTTTTCTGAGCATCGCTTTATGCATTTACTATCTTAGTAATTACAATCGGTTCAGTCTTCACCCATTACCTTCATTCTCGGATTTCCTTTCTCTATTTATTTTCCTTCCTATGGTTTTATATGAATCTTCGTCTTCTTCTGTAGCTCAGGAGACTGCATAACGAGGTTCTCCATTTAAAACCTAACCTAACATCGACATCTTCATTTTCTTCTTTAAATTTCTTTTAAGAGCATCTATGGTGAAATTAGAGTCAATTCGGTTGTATTTATCCGTGAGTCCATCAATCTTAACGAATTCATCGGCCACGTTATTCATAAATATATATATATATATATATATATATATATATATATGTGTATATATATATATATGCCTTACACTTGATACTAAAAATATTTGTATCAAATTTCAAACACACGTTATAATACTAATACATCGTATTAAGAAGGACACGCGTCTAGTATGTATATAATATTACAATTTTCTGAAACTATATTTTAGACTGAAGTTATAATAAGAATTAATGAGATTTCTGTGTAAGATTTGAGGTTTTCACAGCGGTGAGTATGAATATTTCTGTCTTCTGGGTTGTTTCGCTGTGTAGTCTGGTTGATGTTAACCAACGTTTCAGAGGTCTTTGCTGCCTCCGCCCTGTTGATGGAGGCAGTATGACCTCTGAAACGTTGGTTAACATCAACCAGACTACACAGCGAAA